ACGAGAAACCTTGCGCAAAACATTAATTGCCCTTTAAGGTCGTAATTTCTTTCTAAAGGTAACTTTCCATATATTTAATGTTAAAAATACCTCAGCTGTACTTATTTACTTATTTGTTTGTTATTCTTTCAACCTTATTAAAATCAGTGTGATTATTTGTTTGTATTACTGTATTCTGATTTGCTTATTTCAGCTTAACGTAACCAATCAATAGTTTTATTAATACTTATGTAGTCAAACGGGGTGAAGCCCGTGGGTAACAGCTAGTTGTAATTAAAACCTTATCTTCAAAACTAATTTAATCAACTCATGTGACATGATTTGCTAGCTGATACGTGATTAAAAAAAGTATTCATAGTTAATTTGTCTTACTATAGCCTACATAATAGTGTTAAGGATTAGTAAGGATGTCGAAGCGTCATAAAATAGTTATTGTACCAATTATTAACAAATCATCAACATATTCATACTTAAAAAAGTCAAGGGCTCAAATTCACATTTAAAGATCTTACAGTGTTTTCTTAAGGAGGGCGGCTTGGATGTAGTCAGCGAGAGTCTTGAATTAGCGTATAAATCAACAAACATTTTATTTGAATGGGTTAAGAATAGTTACTCGTTAAGTTTAGATTGAATTGTTTGACTGTATTGCACCATGTATAAAGCATGTACATCACATCCTTCACTTTCTTTAAATATTTTACTGTGACTTACATTTAACTATGATCCTCAGAAATTCAAAACAGTTTTCATAAAATTACGTTAAACTACTCCTTAAAGGAGTCTTACAGGATCAACAGTACCTTCTTGAGAGGCTCTCCTTCAGGAAGGAGGTCTCTATGCACACAACCCTCCATGGAAGTCTCCTGCTTCACTTTCCAAGAGTTGGTAAGGAGAAACTTCTCGCACTTTGACCCAAAGGTTTCCAATTATCTCCTTTCTGTCCAAAAACGTATGCATTGCCATCTTTGGGGTCCCCAAATTGGGGATAAACATAAAAGAATAATTTTACTCTAATGGTTAATTGTGGTTTAGATTGTCTTTTTTACCTGATTTGTTATTTGTTTAATTTGTTTGTTATTTTCATTCGTGAGCATTTGATTAATACTCAGCGTTGTAATAGTGAACCATTAAGAACACTTGCTACACAACCTAGGGTAGAAGTAGGGATTTGTTTGACGCACTTTAAAAAATAAAACTATTTAAGTTAAGAAATTGACCAAAATCAAATAAAACACACGCTAACACTGCATCTAAGTTTTTAACCAAGTCTCGGACAAGAACACAATTTTAACATGACAAAACCAAAAGCTATTTACGAACGACTTGTCATAAACGTGAATGGGTTGACTCTTTGTAAAAAGAGACCATTTAAACTTTATAACTCCTGTTGTGGGTATGAAACTTTAATTCCTCTTGAATATGAGAATTGTAGTTTTAAGAATATATTTGATTTTACTGACACTGACAGCGTGCTTAACTGAAAATATTCGCACATTTGTTATACTTTATGAACTTTGAAGGAGACAAAATCAATTTTCCTCTTCAAACTGCGCTTCATCAAGTGTTGCAATAGTTGAAACAACGTTTTCTTTTTAACTTCTTACCATATTGGTTTGTATACATTAATTTCGAGTTAAGTCTTCACTTTATAACTTTAATCGATCCATTCGAATGATCTTTCCTGGTTTGCGAAGCTGTGCACGTAAATATTTATAAAATTTTAAGATGCAACAATCTTACATATAAGATAATGAGGTATTTGGCTTAGAGCTTGCTAGCTAATTAGACATCGTCTTTAATTGTTTTGTTCCAAAGCACTTACAATTTGAAATAGACAGATGTAAGACGTTAAGAGTCTTCATCACCCTAGGTGTAGTTCTGTTTTGGGGGGATAGCCTTGGGGGGAAGGTGGTGTGGACGGGCGGGTAGCGCGGGGTCATTATGCGCGCCTTTCTGAAAACATCGTGGCTGGTACATAACGGACGCTAAATGCGTCGCGTTAATGCGTCGCGTTAACGCCAAAGTTCGGCGCATAAGTAGTCCAGACTATACGGACGCAAAATGCGTCGCGCTGTTTTTGCGTCAACGCCCCGCTGGCCAGACTAAACCGCCACGTTGCTTCCCAGATCACTTTATTCCAAGTTGCCAATATGGATGCAGTGCAGATCGGTGCTGTAGGGTTTCAGTGTCTACTAGAGATGTATTTGGAAAAGACCAAAAGGCAGGATAGACGTTGGGGTACCCATCCCGTTCTAAGCAGCAGATTGACATCAGGTGCGTTTCATTTGATGTTTGAGAAGCACAGACAATATGAAGACAAATTTTACCAATATTACAGGATGTCTGTTAGCTCATTTGATGAACTTTTACATCTTGTCAGTGACGGTCTGATGAAGAAAGATACCAACATGAAAAGGAGTATTGAGCCAGCTGAAAGACTTGCTATAACCATCAGGTAAGCCGTTTATGGGTTAAATCGAAGGGTAGATCCATGTCAAGTGTTCCAGCAGTGGTTGCTTGACATTTTCAGAAACATTCATATTTGGTAGATCCATTTGGAAATGGGGACCCTATTTGTTTTGCCCGCTAGCTGTTTTCGCCTTTGCAAGCATCCCCCCAAATATAAGGAACTGACCTACCAAATATAATTTATAATATAACTTATATAATATAATTTATAATATAACTGAACGTCATAAAGTGGAGGCCGCTTCTCTACTTCTAAGATGAACTTCTCAGTATCAAACATGTTGATGACTCTCACACAGAAGCACTACTCACTCAAGACTGCGACTGCGGGCCACGCATCTAGCGTCCGTATAGTCCGGCCCCAGCGTTGCGCAGCGCTATCTACGTCGCGCTGCTAACGTTTTTCCAGGGCTGGTCGCGTAAAATGCGTCGACGCCGAGTTTGGAGGGCAGCGTGCCGCGTAGACTGCGCTCGTATAGTCGCTCAAATTGACTTGCATTGCCATCCAAAATTAAAAATAGCGCAGCGTATTTAACGCGACGCATTTAGCGTCCGTATAGTACCAGCCTAAACAAACTACTACTAAAGACGCGACTCCGCACCTACGCACGCGCAGCGGCGATCTTATCGATCTTTTACATCACTAGCTGTGAGCGTGAGGAGCCCTTGTGGCGAGCGCAACTAATATTGTTTGTTAATTTAATATCAATAATATGCGTAACATTGTGCCTTAGCATTATGGATATTTACAAAATAAATACAATGACCTTCAAAACAAGCATTAATTCATTTTGTATTAAAGTTTTATTAGGTTCTGACGTTTGGTTTACATTTTTCGAATTTTCAAAGTCATGAGATAGGTAGTTTTTAAATCTCAGAAAGTCTGCCAAAGATATTTCATATGACTGAGACAGTTCATAACCAAAATGTGTATTGCACCATTACCAGGTTATTGGGTTGTAGGTGTTTATTCATACAAAGAACATGTGTGCCTACAGTATGAGACACATTTAAGATGGTATGTTTTTTTTTGCCCAGTACAGTGTAGATTGTACCAGAAAGAAATCAGTTGCTGTTAAATAATCATCACTATGACTTTATTGTGTAAATTCTTGAAATATTAAGAAAGGTATACATTACCTTTCTACAATCTGTTACTCGATATTTAAGTCAGTGAAGGTATTAATTGTACAATATTAAAACAGAAAGTTGGGTTTATATTTTTTAATAATATGAAATGATTTATTTTGCTATTTTGAATGCCAGTTTGGTATTCCAAAAATCAAAATTATATTTAAACGCATTACTATAATACTTGCTAAATTCCTCGTACCACATGTATGCAATTTAAAATATTATTATTATAGTAAGAATTAATTACCGGTACATACTAAAATGTCTTTTTGGATTAAACAAATTCAGTGCCTCTTAAACAATCCGTTGGGGATAATTGAAGTTGTAGATAAAAGCTTAAGCAAGTTGTAAATATCACCTTCAGTAAAATTACTTGAGTCAATTTTGTTATTGCCAATTTCAAACAATCAACATTATGTGCACTATAAATTAAAAACAACATGTTTGACAATATTATTCCTGTAATTTTATCATACTTTAACAGTGAATAATTACACGTTTAAGAACAACAACAATGTAAAATAAATACTTGTCCATGAAAATTTAATGCATCCAGCTTATGACGTCAGAAAAATCTGAAAATCATTTGTTATATTGTTGTGTATGAAATTCACAATACAATTCTTGGTTTGTATATTAAATATATGAGAATACAACAATTGCTTTTTATATAGTATTAAAGTTGCTATTACAACTACTTACATTCTCTATGTCAGGTCTGTGACCCTATAGCCGCAGAATGGCGCAGTATTGGACATTAAGCTTTATAGCCAGAACCTCTATCCCCCTCCCACTATCATTTAATCCAGATAGTTTGTTCTTCTTCTATCCAACTCAAACTAATAGTTTCATTATTGTTTAATTGGTTTCATCATATTCATTTATGTTCGTAAAGACATTTAAAGGTATTTGTAACCGCTCAAACATTATAGTTTATTAAAAATTACGACGGAAATCGAGTTTGTACAGATAAATATATTGTTTAAGGCGTTTTGAGCAATTGAAAGTCCACAAAAATTAAAATGCCTCCAATCTTTGGCAATTTAATTAGAATAAGCTGTTATAGTAGATGCGTTAGAATACACATTTCCGTAATGAATTGATATTTAGGAAATTATTCATTGTTAGTAAGTTCCAGTTACAAATAACAATCCGACCAAAAGTTTTATTGGTTAGGTGCCGCAAATGTTACCAACTTAAATTAATAACGTCCAAACAAAAGAAGTGTGTCACAGTTTTGCCATCGCAGTTTACGGGTTTGCATAGAATGTAATAGTATTCTTACATTTTTATTGCAATTTGGCATACAGTGTTTATGCAAAATAGCTGTTACTGATTTAGATGTAGTGTTTATCCTCAGTCTAAAAGTGTATTTTTTGTTACAGGAATGTCGGTGATGGGAAGAAATGATAAGTCGTAACCGTGATATTGAAAATATTTTTAGTAATAACAAGACGTTAATGCATTCATTACTCTCTCACGATGATTTACATTCTAGTTTATTCTATTTCAGAAGCGTTTTGGTAGGTTTAAAACACAATACTATATTTTAATCTCTTTAACTAGCGTTTTGACATAATATTTTGAGAAAGTCATGTTTTGCGTTTACAATAGGTATTGACATAAACCAGAGTTAGTAGTGTGGAAATGTGGGTCCTGTAACAAAACGTGAATAGTGTGAAAATGCGGGTTCTAGAACACTAAAGTGGGCACCGGGGTGTCGTATGCCTCCTCCACGGTACGCGTCCAATGTCCACCTCGGCCCGGCGCTTCGTCCAGAGTCTTACAGGTCGACGACAGTCAAGTCCCGGGGACACAGCGGCATCTTCCACGCGCCTCGTGCACGGCCATCATGAGCTTGACGAGATAGCCGTCGTCTCCTGCAACGCCACCCCTAGCCAGGTCAAGTATGGCAGTGGGCCTTTGTCTGCGGCCGCCAACGGCCCGAGGATTGTGCCTGGTGAGTGATGAATTTTGACTTTTAAATACTTTAGTTACACAGTATCAGCATAGACAAAAAGAATTAAATATATAGACCGTCAGCTGTGCTGAGGTTACCATAGGTTCTGGCGCACACCGCTGGGAGCCCTATGTAGTTACGGTCTACACGCTTAGTAACTACATAGCGCTCCCAGCGGTGTGGCCAGAACCTATGTTAACCATGGTATCCACAGCACGGCTGACAGTCTATATTTAATTCTTTTTGTCTATGGTATCAGTGAACGTTTTTTGCTATTGATAAAATTACGCATAATATGAATGCTGAATCCTTAGTTTATTAAATGTATTTTAAATATTGCATACGGACATACAAAAAAAAAGACCGGGGATATGTTATTTTAACTTTTGCATAACATATCTTGCATTTGCTGCATTTTACACCATTGCGTGTATACCACTAAGTTAAAAAACAACTGTAAAATAGATGACCACGAAAAAATAATTTAAATCGTCTACCAACGAGGTTTTTACAATGGTACTTAGAGGAACTGGAGTACGTTATCCAAACCACCAGATTAGAATAAAACAGAGAAATAATGATCACAACAAGATCAAGAAGAACATCAAACGGATGCTATTTACTTACATTTAACTTATTTAGCTCATTTTTACGGTTGAAGCTGTCATTGTAAAATACCACTCTGCTCTTTACATATTATCCATTTATGACTAGCTTTTTTAAAATGATAAACTATGAAATGGTCTCCATGTGGCTAAAAGATTCAATATTTAAAAACAAACGTTACCTAAATACAGTTGGAGTACATTTCTTGTCGGAAATTCATTATTTTGAATAAATATATTGCATTTAGTATATTTTAGTTATATTAGTATATGGTTATATAGTTATATTTAGTATATTTCAACATCACAATAAAGGTGGTTATGGTGATTAAGCTCTTTTGGCCGTCCCAACAATTGACAAACTAGTATATTAAATTATATAAGAACAATAAACCCTTGTTTCTTGATCCAAAAACAATAGCAGTTTTTCTATTGCATGTTGAACAAAATACTAATAAAGAATATACTGCCAAATTTATAAAAAATAATAGCGAGGTTTATGCAAAATTAATTTTGTTATCGTTTATAATCAATACCCCCTTGTGATTTTATACCGTTGAATTTTGACCAGCCAATATAATAACATTATTTTATTGTTTTTATTTTATCTTTCTATTCATTGCTGATTTAACCTAAAAATAACATGTGAGAAAAATCCAGAAAAAAGTTATAACGTATAATAATAGACTAACTTATCTACATTCATAAAGTCACAACTATGCCAAAATATTACCGCCTTTCTCATTGATTCAACATTTTTCATCCACTTTGTTACGGCGAGTGTAAATCGGCTAATTTCAAAGTGGAGCTTATGATAAACAACAAACACGTCGTGCACTGATATATTTTACAATGTTTCTTTGTGAGTTTATATTTACGAGAGAAGGATTTTATTTTAAATTATGATTATGCCTCAAAATGTATTCTCTTTGTTTTCAGTCCAACAAAACCCTATTTATTATTATTTACCCTTATCTGCATTATTCCCTATAAAATGTATTTATTAATGATGTCTGTATATAAACACACCTAACAATACAAGCTTAAAACACACAAATGAATATATAATGCCTAAAAATATACAATAAAACCAAAAACAACTCCCCCACAGCAAACCCACCGACTTTATGTGTTTTCTAAAATGTAAAAAAATTTTACAATCTTGTGTATCTTAGTATTTTATAATAGGTTACCTGGATGTGCATATCACTTTTGAATGTATTAAGTTGAATAAGAAAACACATATTTATTACAAATAATACAGAACAGATTGTGTTTAGATAGTTATGTATATAGTTAAGATGTTAGTCATAGTAACATATTATTTATAAAATAATTGCTTAGCACCAAAAATAAATCATGTATCATAGTAATTGTATGACTAATTAAAGTGGCAATTACCCAGCATTAGATCAATTTTTTAATTTTTTATGAACATTTTAGGGTAACCTTGACGATTGAGATAATTAAATACCATTTGTATGTAAACATGAAAACAATAAAAATAAAAAGGTGCAAACATTCAAAAGCCAGGTTTTATAAAGAAGAACTCTCATTCTCTAAAGCACTGATTTGCTAACAGAACTCATGTAGGAGTTCGTTTCATTTACATAATAATTATTTTACTTGGGTATAAGATTATAAGATTGTTAGATGTTAAATGTGTGACGAAAATGCATTTATAAGCTATAATTTGCTTGCTTTTAAAAATATTGTATAACAATCAATTATAAATAAACATTTAAGAAAAAAAAATTCATGTACTAAATTTGATTTAGATTTGTGTTTGAAACAAAGCTGAGATTAAAACTGATTATATTTATTTTCCAGATAACAAACCAAGTCAGTTTTGTTATTGTAAATCGAACTGCGAATGTTGTTAGTAATCATACAAAGAAACGAAAATGTATTTATTCAATATAATAAATAAATAGTTAAAAATAGTAGTTTTAAACTAAAACCATCCATAAAAAAGTACTTTTACATAAACTGTGATAGAGTTTGCGTGTGAAAGAAGTAATTTTAACCAAGTGTTCTTTCAGTCAATATTCAAATACTCCTATACTTAACCTTTTTGTAACTGTTATATTTGTATCAAACCTTTTGGTACCAAAGATATGTTTTTTCTATTGTTTAAATTGATTGCCACAAAAACTAAACCATAAAGAAAGATGATGTTCACCTAAATACATTAACAATTTTAAAGCAAAAACAACAAAGAAATGAACGTAGTAAGCCATACATGTTTGAAATATAATGATTTAATTACAAAGCTACGTCGGCTACCCAACAAATGAACCAAAATTCAACTCAGAACAATGGATAGAATAGAAACAATGACGAAGGATAAACAAATGAATACAAACCTACACAGCAATTAGCTTGTGTTTCGTATGATACCTAGAATATTTTCAGAGTAATTTTAACAATAGTGTAGATTTATGAAACTCCTAGTTTAGCCTAGTTGTATATTATATTATAACTGTTATTATATTACAAACATGCTCAGCTGCTTCTTACAGCTTTTAAAAAGATTTAAATAGCTAATACTAATTTTATTTACCACCAAACACGTGATTATTACATCCAATGTCAAACAGAAACAAAAAAAATATTTAAAAATAATACCGTATCATTAGGACTGAAGCCTGATCAGGATCTGTAAAAAACACAATTTAAAATTAATATTAAACTTGCGGAACCCATAATATATCAGCAGAGATATTACAAAGGACATTTATGTGTAAAAACCAACTTCAGTAATATTTCTGAAGCATCCAAATTCTTCTTAGGTCAAGCATCACGGTGGATATTTGACTACGAACAAAAATATGCTTTAGTAAATTTTGAAATTTCTCTGCAAACAACGGCACATAGTTAAAAATTTTGAGTATTAATTTATGAAAATATAATATGACAAATATATTTTATTTTGTGACAATTCACCGGTATTCAAGGACTGCGTTGAAGACTCCAATGGTAAATGGTAAATTATAAACAACCGACTTATGTTTAAAGTACTACACACTAATAAATCTAAAATAGAGAACCAGAATCGGTCGTGTTTGAAATCGAGGTTTAGTACATTGATTTTTACAAGAATTTTTAACTATTTTTGCACCCAGTATGAACTTGTATTTCCCAAGATAAATTTGATTTACATCAGTATTTCAAACGACCAATGAGTTTTTATTTGGGTTGTTTCAATTGAGTGGCGATACGTCAATAACAACGTATATCAGTGACCTAAATACGTTTTGGCATATAACTAATATAGTCCAGTAAAATAAGACATTTTGGTATGCAAAAGGTCGGGTAGTTCTGATTTTTGGATATGTTGTTAGTATTGGGCCCATATCATAAAATCCAAGTTATCCACCTCGAGATGCTGCCGCTCGCCGCGGGGCGCGCCACTTGTTATCGAAATATAAAAAATATGACAATTCCTATTGTTTTTCACTCAATATCGCGAACCGCTCATTTTACCGAAAATGTTATATTATTACATTAAAGAAGAATAAATTTGTGACAGCTTAAGCCCAACAGCAAGTATGTAGCGTAAATAATGGTCAAAATACAGACCATCAAAATAAATAAATTTTCCAAAGACCGATAAAAATTGTGGTTTTTTCAATATTTCCACAATTTTAGTGTTTGAAGCAAACACCGTATTGATTTAGAGAGTATGCCAGTTTATTTGCTATTAATAGAAAATAAATGAAAGTATGAATAAAAATACCCCCACCTCAGCAAACCTGCAGACTAAGCGAATTTCCATTTGCTTGATTTGATTTTCACAAACCTATTTAAATAACATTAGGTTTAACTGGTGCCTAGGTTTGCTGCTACAGGGAGGGTAATAGAGTATATAAAATAATAATATGATAAGAAACAAATAAATTTACCCAATTTTATATAAATGTGTCTATAAATAAGGAAAAATCAATAATTAAAAATCTTCGCTATTGGAATAACTTGAGGTTTTTTAATTTACATTTTTCCATTTTCTCCGTAACCAATAACTGTAAAAAACATTTTAATGTACTAAATTATTTTTTTTAAGCTGTACAAAATGATCTAGAGATACATTGTAAAATTGTATGTTTTAAGGGTCAAAAATACGAAAAACCCGTTCTTAACAAAAAAACACCATAAAGCAACCGTTCCCATGGCCTGATTAAATCAAATCAAAATCTGTTTTATTTCCAAAATTCTCTTACAATATATACATACGGTATACAAAATACGAACAATAGTCTCGCATAGGCCGTAAAAGACCTGTGCGCAGGACGAGCTCTATTACAAATCAAATTAGAAATATTCTTAAAAATTAAAACCAAATTAATCAAAATACTATTTACAACTAAGCTGAGACAGCTACAGGAACAGTGCTAA